TCTATCAAAACCATAATATTTTTGCAGGAATTCTGTCATTTCATATTAATTGTTACAGGGATCTTTTTTCCTCTTTTGTTTGTCTTTTCTGCTAAATATTTTAGAACATATTTTATTTCCCTTTGTGTCTCTTGCCAAAATGAATTTGTCACAGTCTTAGTTTTTGTAGGTTTGGATTTAACACTAAACATGGAAAATATGAAACCTATTGCTGTGTGTATTAGTGGGGTCTCTTCACCACAGAGACCCAAGATAGGGTCCTTTGTATTTGATGAAATGTGTGTGCCTTTTATATTTGGATATACCCAAATATTTATAGTCAGATAACGGTGACTTATGATGTATGATAGGTCTAACATTCTTTTGTTTTCCTTTAGAAAAGAAGCTTTTGGAGGAATTTTTGATTAACATCTACAATTCCCCCCTTCCAGATCTCCTCATGGCAATTTCCCCTACCTGTGTGTTCTAAATTAAGAGTTGTTGTTTCTCATAGGCTATTGCAGAGTTGAAACACCCTGGGAGAGGAAAAATCACTTGTGGGGACAATTGTAAATGAAAAAATAGGGAACAAGGCTGAGCAAGGCAGTCACCTTAGTTACCTGTTATGGAGCGAAAGAAATTAGCAGGAAATTGATATTTAATCATTATTATATTTTTACTTCTAGGGAGAGACACATGAGAGCTTCTCTTCCTCAAGTATCAAAATAGCTTGTTTAGCCTTCAGTGCTGTGTAACTTGACTTGTGTGTAGGGGACTTTTTGCTGCATCAGCTGTCGAAACAGATTGGGACAGCCCTAGTGGTGGGTAATTTGGAATGAAAAAAATGGTTAAGCACTGCCTTTTCCTTTATATTTCTCCACTCTCAATCAATATCCCCCTCACTTGTTTTTCTTTCTTCTCTCTCTGCTAAGTCATGGAGGCTGAATGATTGGAAGTATGGGCAACAAAAAAGAAGTACTGTTACATTTCCCTAGAATTCTGGCACACCAAGAGGACAGCCTTGAATGAGCCTAATTACTTTCTTCTCTACAAAAAACACCCCCTCTAGATATGAATTTCTGTTCAAGACAAAGCATAATTTCTTCCAGGTTTTATTTGTTTAATCCCCTGTCCAATTGGTTCTAAAAGGGTCAAAGAATCAGCAACATATTGTCATTGTTCAATGTTGCAGAGTCAAAGAACAAACAACAAATGTCTGGTCCATGCTGACATTTTTGTTTCACAATTTGATCTATGCTACCACACTCTTGCACCTTCTTTGTAAAAATATGGTGCATGCTAAAACTTACTGACAGTGTGTCCAATTGAAGCATTTGTTCATCTTTCCTTGCACTCACGAAGCCAGTATTGCAGTCCAATGTCCACATAATGCACTTTCCTTGCACTCACGAAGCCAGTATTGCAGTCCAATGTCCACACAATACAGGGCTGAAACTAGTGTCAACAGTCAGAGCAAGACCACCGCAAACAACAACAACAACAACAACATGCTTTTCAGGTACAGTGGTGCCTCGACTTACGAACGTCCTGACTTGCAACCATTTTGAGTTATGACCAGCTCTGGCCGCAAAATTTTGCTTTGACTTGCGGCCGGAGCTTTGAGTTACTACTGGAAAAAAGGTGGGGGGGAAAGGCAGGGAAATTTTAACCTCTTTGGTCGGCAAAGAGGCTGCTTCTTTGTAGCTCTTTCACCCCAGCAGTTAGAAAGAGTGCATTTGGAGGAGGCTTTTGGACTGCCTGGTAAAGTACTGCTTTTTGCTTTTAAAAACTGCCTGTTCTGGGTGGGTTTTGCAGCGTGGGTTTGGGCTGGGTGGTGGGGTTATGTTTCTATGCTGTGATGGGTCTTGCAGTGTGTTTTTGTGTGTTTTTAGTGGGGAGGTTTCGGCTGGAACAGATTAATCGCATTTCTGATGGGTCTTGTAGTGTGTTTTTTATTCCCTGACGGAATGGGTTTGTTTGATTCTGAGGGGGTTATGTTTCTGTGCTTTGATGGCTCTTGCAGTGTGTTTTTTAGTGTGTGTGTGTGTGGGGGGGTTCAGCCAGAACGGATTCATCGCATTTCAATGTATTCCTATGGGAAATGGTGCTTTGAGTTACGACCAATTTGAGTTACGACCACCTTCTGGAACGGATTAAGTTCATATCTCAAAGCACCACTGTATTTTTACACCATCTGTGAGCAGTGATGCATTTTTGTTTTGTTGTGCTATGATTTGCTTCAGTGCAGGACTGGCTCTTGGGAACCCTAATACTGCACTTATTTCCTCTTGATTTCTGCAATTTATGGGTGTGCATCCATTAATGATATTTCCTTATGGATATTTTTATGCTAGGCAATCTTTATTCCTTGGGAATATTTTCTGCCTATTATGCTATTCAGCTCAATGTGGTCACCATCTCAAAATACTCCCAGTGCCTTGGTGAGGACATGGCTCTTCTGTAAATCATATTTGCTCATCAACCACATTTTCCAAAGGGAAAGGCAGGGGGCAGAGAAAAGTCTGCGAATTGACACCTCAGTCTGCTCCTTCAGCCTTTAAGCAGCAACTTACCAATGAGCTGGATTCAGTCAGTCCAAACCCGCAGCCAGGCAAAAAAGCACATGACTTTGAAATGGTACATTACCAGTGCATAAGGGTGTGGTTAGATGGTGATTTATATTACATTTTGGACCACATTTGGCATGGTTTGGTTTGATATGTTTTCTGGCAACTACAGAGTGTATTACTAATTGCAAACCAGCCTGACCCTTTCTGTGGCTATCCAGACTTTTTTCCTCATTGCCGGGGCTACTGGTTTTTGTTGTTGTTTACCATCAGTAGGATTGGTCAGTTTCTAGCATGTGTGATTGTTGGTATCAAAACAAAACAGCACTGGCAGGTGTTTCCCCCAACAGTTCAGTGCTCCTACTCCCCATCTAGAGGGAGACAGAAGAAAGGGGTTGTCTTATTTTTCTTTTTTTCTTCCTTTTTGTTACAATACAGTGCAATCACTTGGGTGCTAAGCCAATGAAGTGATATGTCACTTACCAATACAGTATATATTGTAAAAAAATTGCCTCCCCCCAACTCCTGTGGAGGGGGAGGCAGAAGAGAAGCCAGAGGAGGATTTATTTTCTTTTCTTCCTTTCTTTTTCTTTACGATCCAGCACTGTGTTTCTTCAGTGGCAAGCCAATGAAGTGATATGTACTTGTGAATGAATGGAAAAAGTTTCCCCTGCTTCCTACAGAGGGGGACACAGAAGAGAAGGTGGAGTGTCATTTCTCAATAATTTTTAAAAATGAAGTCCCCCACTGCACAAAGGGGAAGGCAGAAGAGAATGCGGTGGCATGGAGGCAGAGAAGAAGAAATGGGACAAATAGGGTCACTTTGAGGTGTGGTGACCAGGTGCTAGCATGTGGATGCAAGGAGGGGTACTACACTTTGAAGCAACCCTGTTTAGTCTGATCCAGTTGCAGCTGACTTTGCCTGGCCCTTGTCTCTCCCAAGGCATGCAAGAAGCATGGAGCTGTTGCTTCAAGATGATTCCAAGTGAAGCCAACGCCTCTCCCAACTCAAAAGGATGAGTGGGGGTGCAAGAGAAGGAGGCCAGCAGTGGTATAGTTAGGGAGACCTGATAGGCTGGATCAGCCCATAAGCCAGAGATACCCCTTCCTTGTTCTATGACAAATATTATTTGCCTAGTGGACTCTTACCTAGTGTCTTAGTGGCCTAAAAAGTGAGACATACATCATCCAAAAAGTGGATGAAAGAGGGCACTGATTTGCAAAATCAAATCAAATCAAAACAAAACAAAACAATACCTACACTAATTTATATGTTCAGGTGCAAAATTAGATTTTTAAAAATAATAATTTGAACATAATTACATTATATCTCACCAGATTAGGGAAGACTGTAACCAGGTGACATATGTGTCTGGTGTCCAGGTGTTAACAGAGGATGGACAACGTTAAGATCCCTGCCCTCCCTCACTGGTCTTTGTCATTTGGATGCACTTGGACTAGATTGCCTTTAAATAGAGAACACCTTCAAAAAGAGAAGTTTTCTGTTCCAACCTTTCAAACAGAGGGGTGTCCTTTGTAAAAGAGGTCATGTAGCCACACTTTCATCCTGCTTCACACAGGTTGATACAACAGTGAAGCCACAATAGACCAACTGCCTTCCTAACCTGATAAATAGAGGTTTTGCAGCAGAGTCTTAAGCCCTGATTTATTAACTATTGGTCAGAGCTTGTCTTATATTTCCTTCCAACATGAACTTGAATTAGCAAGTGGTGCAGAAGTAGGTTCAGTGTCATCACAACTTAGTACCCTCATTGCTCTGTGCTTTCTACCCACTCCAATATATCCTACCCATATCCTGAACATCATGAGTTGTCAATTGTACATAGAACATAGGTAGGGGCATGCTCAGAAATTGACATGTGCATATTTCTTCACTTTCCTTGAATACACGTTGGAATATGGCTGCAATTGAGACCTCAAAGTTCTATATTCAGCAGTCACCTCTCTTTTTATATAGGATTTGAGCATTCAATTGTCCCGTGTAAAGAAACACAGATCTTCTGGAACCATAAACAACTTGTGCCTGGAGCCATCTCCCCTCCCTAAAAATGTAGGGTGCAGGCCACCCACAACCACACATCTGGTTGGCATATGAAGCTCAGAACATCTGGCTTTGCAGTTGATCCTACCCTTTTTCTCTTGGTATGCTCTACTAAAGCCCAGGGTTATCGAAAAACATTCACAAAAAATGTCCCAGCTTTTCAAAATCATCCAGACTGCCTGACTCTGCAATGTGTTTAATCACACAGTCATAGTCCAGAGAAGGTGTTCTGCAGCATGAGGTTCCAGCTCTTGCTACACACATTCTCTCTCTCTCTCTCTCTCTCTCATACGCGCAAACGCACACACACACACACACACACACACACACACACATCCCGCCTGCCTGAGAAGAATAGACTTCCGTGCGATAGTCTCACACAGACACCCTGAGTACCCAGAGGAACAGAAAGGCTGGGGAGTGCCTGTTAATGGCTGACAGCTACATTGAAGAATCAGAGCATTTGCCTGAGAAAGAGGAATCTGTGGAGTGGGGTTATGAAGAAGGTAAGGAAATTGGGGTCTGAGGCTGTGAGGTGAAAGAGGGAGGCATTTTCACTGTGTGAAAGAGAGAAAGAAACTATGTGAACATTCACAGGCACACATTTATTCTTGAAGACAGACACAGAGAGAATCAGTTTAAGTTTGCTTCCAAACCTAAAAGTGAGTGATTTATATTTGGGTTTAAAAAAAAAACCCTGGAAAGTAGAGTAACCCTCTTTTCCAGTGTAATGAAAACAGTAGCCTTTCCGCCGATAAGTTCCACATTCTTAGGCTGTGTTTGAAACTCAAACATCGTAACTCTGACAGCGCTACTGACTATACACAAAGAAGATGGATTGCTTTCATTGCCTTTCCTTCCTCCTCTCCAAGCTCAGGCAAGGGCAAACCAAAGGGGTCTCTAATCCCCTCTCTCTTTTATTAATCCAAGCTTTATGGCTGTCTGCATGGAAATATTTCTAACCTTTATCCGCAGATCTCAGGCTGGGGTAAAATCAGGTTAAAAGAAATGAAAAAATGTGAATACTTTAAAATAATATTTTAAAACATTTCCAATGAAGACCAAAACCAGGAAATATGGGAAACTGCAGACCAAACGATGATCTCTCTAATTATGAAATGTTCAATGAGCAGTCAGGTTGTAACTTTGATGCCCAAATAGAAGACAATGTTGGTGACAATCGGGCCTCCAAGGGGAGAAGATTCCACATCTGGGGTGCAGCTGTGGCAGCACAGAAAGTCCTCTCCCAGGTACTACATAATGTGGGAGCAGAAACATTTATGGTTAGAAGTCTAATATTGAAGAGATGGCATTTCCTAAATGAACGATGAAGCCACAATATTAGGTGGGCTAAGAAAGAAAGAAAAATTACCAATACTGATATTTGCTCCATCAGGAATATGTTCCTCTCTGTCTGAAAAAGAACAGATGTAGCCAACTAAAACTTCACAAACGAGGGCCAAAGAAAAACTCAATGAAGCACCAATCTGCAGTTGGCTATATTCTTTTTCCTTTTTTTTTATTTTAAAGGGGTGGAGATATTGCTTGGGTCTAGTCAAATTTTGCAGTTACTGAAGTGAACTGAAGGAGATGCTAAACACATTTGAGGTGAGATTATGGTAGGTGAAAACAAGAGGTTAGTTGTGAGCATTTTCTTCAGGTGGAAGAAAAATGCTGATGACTCCAAAACTTGCTCAGTGTTCTGTGATGTTTCAGTTGGTCTCAATTAAGCAAAGTTTTTTTTTTATTAATCTGAAGATTTGCCTCCAAAACCAGGGCCTATAATTAAATTTATTAATCTGAAGATTTGCCTCCAAAACCTATAATTAAACAACAGTTTGTCATTGAAAAAGTGTTTTATCTCTTGGTGAACATAACAAGGATTTTTCATTTCTTCCTTAATATACAGAAAGTTAGAAATAACCTTTGATTTACAGAACATTGGAGTCTTTAAAGAAGAAGAAATCTCTGGCACTGACCAGCAGGTCCAAATTAGATGAGACATTAAATGGATATTTGCATTTAATCCGCATGGGGTTTTTTAATCCCAAAGTGGCTACTTGTATGTGGTGATTAGTTATGTGGTACAGTAATCGTTACTGTGACCAGAGCTGTGTGTGTTGGGGATTATATCCTCCCCCTCAATACTGGAAAGCATGCTGGAAAACTCCCTTGAAGTTGCAATTTTCCTGGGGACTGATGACACTATTTTCCCCAGTTAGACACACTTACTGACAGAAAGTTTTCAGTGATGGAATAGAAAGCAAGTTCAAAGTTATTTCTTCCTCTCTCCCTCCCTCCCCCCGGCCCAACCCCCTGGTTGTCCTCAAAATCTGCTTGAGATATTTAGGAGTTTGTGCATGTGGAAATATTGTAATACATCACTTCAGTTAAGTATATTTTATTTTTCAGGAGTTGAGTGGGGGCTGATCTTTCCAGATGCTAATGGAGAATACCAGTCTCCTATTAACTTGAATTCAAGAGAAGCGAAGTATGACCCCTTACTACTGGAAGTACGTTTATCACCCAACTATGTGGTATGTCGTGATTGTGAAGTCATCAATGATGGACACTCAGTCCAGATCCTTCTAAAGTCTAAATCAGGTATGCTGTTCCACTGTTGTGCCTTAAATTATGTCCACTTCCTCATGTTTTAATTTTGTTATTATTACCTGCAACAATTAACGGAATAGTTAGAGAACGTCATACATTCACTTAACAAACCTAACAAGCATGCTGTAAGATCATGTTATTATCGCCATATTATGGAAACGAGGAGTGAAGCTGAGAGCAAAAGATTTGCCTCCAGCTGCTAATGAGTTCATGGCAGAGGTGAGAGTTGAACAAATGATTGCTTCCTTTGAACTCCCACTGTTAACTCGTACATATAACAGTTCTAATTTCTTTTTGTTTTTGTTCTCCTTGTTGTGCAACACACATTTGAGCATTCTTGGAGGATGCAGATGCTTGTCTGTAGCTGAAGTAGTCAGGTGCAAGTCATCACAGAAGCTTCCAGAACATTTTCAGATGGAAGTGGAGTGTAATGTTCATGTCTTATCTTTCAAGCTTTATGAAAATTTGTGTTTTCAGCCACCATCTGGCTGCTTTCCCTATTGTGTTTTCAGCACATTAATTAGGGAAATGAAAAAAGCAGAATTGGCCTCCAACCAACCAAATTATTACAATCTGTAAAAATGGAAGAAACTGTCTTGCAGAAAATGGGCAACACTGGAGGTGTTCCCTCCACATTTTCCTGCTTTCATGGACACAACCCATTCCTGAACAGCATAAAGCTGGCTCTGTGCTCCCAGCTTCTGCACAGACATTTCTACTTTTGGTGCCAAAGACAATTCTTCAGTTTACAAATGCATAATAACAGAGGACACCAACATTCAGAGTTAAAATCAATGTGTAGAATGTGTACTATTTATTTTAGAATGTGTACTATTTATTTAACATATTCTTGGCAATTCTGAAAGGCTGTGAAAGTGTTGAAGGACAACAGGAAAGCATCCTACAGTGTATATAGCCAGCTGGGTGGTGGAAAGCATTTGTCAGTAGATCCTGTGCTGGAAACTTAGCAACTCCAAATCATTGGCCAGTGTGGCTTTTTTATATATTGTGCTATCAGAAGAGAAAGAAGTACAACTATCCATTTTAAGGGCAGTGTTTTAGACACAGGATCCAAAGCAGGTTATCATTTTGCTACAGAAATATCTCCTCAGCAGGAAGCGGCAAAGACTATATATTTCAGTACTTTCTACTCAACTGTTTCAAACAAGATTTCACAGAAATCAAAGCTGCCTACTTGTGTATACCCAGCAAGAACTACACTACACTACACTACACTACACTACACTACACTACACTACACTCCACACACACACACACACACACACACACACACACACACACACACACACACACACACACGCACCACATTCATGATCTAGGCTTGACTCCCTTTTCAGTCTTCAGTATGTCCACTAACAACTCATTCCACTTTTGCTCCTAAAAATCTGCCTAGAGATTTCATGATAAGATTTTAAAGCAAAAACAAGCTTTGTGAAAGTGGTACAATGGTTGAACCATGGTTTGCACATTGGAGGTGAAACTTCTGCATTACATGATCAAGGAGAATCAAGAATCCTGGAAGGCCACTGGCAGTTTGATTGAGCAATCCTTGGGTTAGATTACAGCCCTTCTGGCTTCTAGAGGGACCCCATCCTGTTGTTGAATTCATGTGACTGTGCTTGCATGTTGAGAATGAGGTGTGTGATTCTTCCACAGTTTTTCAGCACAATAAACATCCGATTCTGAGAACAGAAAGAAAAGAAAAAGAAAGACATAGAAGACATAAAAGAAAATGTCAAAATATGAATTGAGAAGTGGTGTATTGGAGCCAGGACTTACAGGGTCAAAGGGACTATAACATCATCCAACACCCTGCTCAGGCTTTCCTGTTCTCTTTGAGCTTAGCTACATTCCTCTTAATGGATGGAAGAGAACACCCCCCCCCCAATATGCAGTATATATTATTTCAAGCCATCCTTGTTGTAAGGCAAAGAATTTGAGGGTGGTTTGGTTTTGTATGGGCAATTTACAGCAATTAGCTGTCCAAAAGATCACTTCCTTAATTGTTGATTTAGAGGTCTTAATGTTGGTGCTGTTATGAAACTGGATGGTTATGGGGTCTATGAGCACCTGAACTTCCAAGTGTTCTACTTCAGCACAGGAATTCAGGGCCAAAATATTATAGATAATTAGTCCTGAAGAATTCCTGAAGTATTGATTGCTTGTGACTAGAGATGGGGGCTTTGTATTCATAGAGGCAGGTGGCCGACTCCATTACCTCCCACCCACAGACCCCACTGGTCCACTTAGAAAGTGGTGCATGTGGCCGGCGTCATCGTCAGTGCACCAATTGCAACAGTAGTCCGGCTGCTGCAGTCCTGTCTCCCCGCTTGCCTGGCCATTCCAGCAAAGAGGAAGAAGGACAAGTCTCCCCGCTCAGCTGCAGAGTGGCTGGGCAAGCAAGGAGATGGGGCTGTGGCAGCTGGGGTACTGCTGCAGTTGGCATGCTAGCAATGATGCCAGCCACACGCACCACATGCCATTCTATAAGTAGACCAGCAGGTTCTGGGGGTGGGAGGTAATTGGACTGTCCACCTGTGCTGGCAGGCTTCGTATTCATCTACTTGTGGCTGTCAAAGCAAAATTGTTTCTCACCCCGTGTAATTTCCAACTTAGCTTGTTTTGTTTTGCTTTGTAGCTGGTTCTTGGGGCATAAGTATAATATTCCTTTGCAAAACTGATTTTTCAGACTTGACTCAATCATATTACTTGAACACCAAAATAATTTCAGCTATAATAGCAGATTATCCCTAATATATAATTTGGCCTTGGATTAGTACCAGTATTTACACCTATAATACTTTCCATTATTTCCAATGTGAGAGGGGGAAAGGGGGGGGGACTCTCTCTAGATAATGAGTGGAGAACCTGTAGTCTAAGGACTGCATGTGCCCTTCAACATAATTTAATGCAACTCACAGACCAGAGTTTTAAAAAGTACATGCATATACTGATATACTGCACTGGTCTGTCACTAAGCAGCAGTCAGACAGTACAGTACTCTAGAACTCACTGCTCAGTTATAAACAGTTTCAATGCCAGTTTCAGTGCTTATGATCTGAGCAGGAGGAGCATGTCACCCCCAAAATGTGGAGATCAGATGTTCGTGCCCTTCAGGAAATGTGGCTTCAAGAGGAATTCCCATTACCTCTCCTTCAAATAGACAAAAGTGCCAGATATTTAGCTAGGAAATACAAGATCACTACTTGCTTATTTAAGACTTGATCCCTATAAAACAAACATGGCAAATATAATCTGAGCCTCAGTCCTGAACCTTCCAGAAATGATCCTTTATAATGCTTTGTGAATCCTAGAAGAAATTGTTCTAATTGGTGGCTCATAAAATACTCATTAAATCTGATAAAATCCTATAATCCAATCCTGTTCAGGCATGTAACTGAATACCACCTGTGGGGTGGTGCAAGAAATTAAGATGGTTACCTCTGGAAAAAGTAAACTTGAGGGGTTTCCTTCACTTTCACTGAAAATGATTTAAATAATGTGTATAATACTGCCATCTTTATTTTCTCTGTTGTCCTTTGTCCAGGCATTCGTTTATCTTAAAGCAATCTGTTCCAGCTAGACCTAGGTCACCATGATGCTTTCATGCAATCACGTGGGAGCACCTTTTGTCCTCTAAACTGGCAATATTCTGGCCTTCTGAGCATTGTCATGACATTCAAATATGTATGGCTGTGACTTCTAGATCTAGGCTATAGTGCAGTCATTCACTTACTGTTCTCATTCTTGTCAAATATACAAACTTCATCATGCTGGATCATACCAAAGGCTTATCTAGTTCACCATTCTGTTTCCACAGTAGCTAATCAGGCACCTATTGGAAACATATAAGCCAGACATGAGTGCAGGAGCACTCTCCAGTTTATATGCCCCAGCAGCTCGTAATTGGACGTAATACACAACCATTATAACTTTTAACTATTGATAGCATTATCCTTGTGTAGAAACTATATATGGCTAAATATTTTATGTCTAATTCTGGATTGTGTGTATATATTAAGTTCTGGCTATCCTGGATTTTTAAAAGCTTTAGCAACTATATAATAATGAAAACTGGGCTATAGAATGACCAATGTGTTGTGTTTTTTTTTAATCAGCTGATGAAAACTTGTATATGAATCCAGTGTCTCCTTTGATTAACTTTTCCAAGGCTGTTAATACTGAAGGATAATGTTTGTCATTCCACAGCACCAGACAAGATAGTTTTCACTCCAAAACCAGTTCTGAAGCCCACTTTAAATAATCCCAGCTGGTCAGTTTTGTCCAGAAATGGCCAAAGTTAAGTATCAATCCCACATTCAATAACTATGCTCAAGAACTGGAGGTTGACCACTGATGAAATGATTAAGTGTCCTCCAGATCCAGTCTTGGTTTCTTCGAGGCAGGCCTACAATTATGTAACCTATAAATAGCTAGTAAAAATTCAGGCTTGGGGTATAGATAGGTACACATCCACACCTAGAAGTGATAAACACAGACCAACAGTTATCTTTCATTGTGAAAAAGTGTCATAAAAATGAGAATGCAACAGGACGCCATCTGTTTTTCTTAATGTATCAGCAACAGAAATGTGCAGCAACAGAACAAAAAAAGCCAAGTTTATGGGTTATGGTTCCACCCCTTTAGCACTTCACCTTTGCACTTTACTGTTTGTTAAGAAAGTCTTTAAGAAAATTGCTCACTCTGAATGTCACCTGCTATTATTTGTGTTGCACTCTTTTGCAGTGTTGGTAGGAGGGCCGTTGCCTCGGGGGCATGAATTTGAACTGCACGATGCTCGATTTCACTGGGGCAGAGAAAATCAGCGTGGCTCTGAACACACTGTTAATTTTAAAGCTTTTCCCATGGAGGTAAGTATGGGCTCACCTTGTACAGTCTTCACATTTCTCCTCAAAATATTAAACCATTGCCTAAAAACCTGTTGGTTTCATTTTAACTAAGTAGTCTATTGATTTATTATCATAACATTTCAAAGCCATAGTTTGCACTGGGAATTCAAATAGACCTGTATATTTACTATGCCTCTGGTGAAAATTCCACTACATGAGTAATTGATCATAAAATTAACCCACAGCACGATTAACTTTGGCATTAGTAATATTCTAACAAGATCTGCGGCTATCGCATTCCCTGTGTCACCTTGACCAATCTCCGGAACAAACTGGCACTGGAATACTTCACTTGCTCTGATATGTAAGGGTAGATCAAGTCAAAATCATCAGGGGATTTTTTTGCTCTTTATAAATAAGGTAATGAATAACCAAGATAAACAGATGGCTTTTGGGTTTTAGTGAAATGCAACTTTTGAAAAGAGGGTGAAGGACACAGTCCTAAATTTGACAGACAGGTGGTATTACAACTCCATCCATCCATGATCCAGATTGCTAATATCCAGATATTTCCGCACGCTATGCTGTTAATCTTTTGTACGATAAAAGCTCTTTCAGGGCATATTTGTTTGGCTTTAAATATTTTCGTGCTATTTATCTTAATCCCTTTAGAAACTTGAAAACAAATTTCCTTTTCATTTTAATTCTTTGTGGGATTTGTCATTAAGCATGGAGCTGCTGTGATAAAAGGCTTGTTTTCAGGACAGTGCCAAACGAGTTCCACTCTGCTCCAATGCTGAACAGAAACCATCAGAAAACTGAAAGTCTGTACAGAACCTTGAGGCAGACAATTAAACAGAGAAAGGCCCATTGCATTCCTTTAGAACCACAGGAATTTCTGCCTCGCATGGTTCTCCTTGTAATCAAAGAAGAAATGGTGGATTTGTTCTGAAATAGGCATAAATCTGTGTATGATTTAAACGTACACAGGTATAGGTTTGAGGGAAAACTGCTATACTGGAAAGAAGGCAGTTAAGCAGGATTCATCTCTGTGCGATTGTTGTGCAATAATCTGACAACACAAGGAAGTATGCCCCAATTAGGTGCCTTCCAGGTATGATTTATGTATTTATTAGACTTACTGTATACGCCGCCCGCCTAGACAATGTCTCTGGGCGGCTCACAACAAGTAGAATAAAAACAATTGTAATGTGGCAACAATTTTACAACAATTTCACAACAATAAACAGTCATTCAAGATGGAAGATAAAAAGATAAATTAAGTAGTGTCCGGAGGGAAGGCTAGCCTAAATAACCAGGTTTTAAGTTGGCTTTTAAAAATACCCAGCGAAGGGGCCAAAGGGATCTCAGAGGGGAGATGATTTTAAAGATGGGGGGCCACTGCCGAGAAGGCCCAGTTTCTTGTTTTTTCCTTCTGGGCCTCCCTCGTCATTAGGCTCCTCAGCCGCCCCTCCTTGCTAGAAGGAGTGATACGAGTAGATCTAGGTGGGAGGAGGAAGTATCGAGGCCCTAAACCATTTAGGGCTTTATATGTAATCATTAAAACTTTGAAATCAATGCGGAAGTGAACGGGCAGACAGTGCAAGGCGGCCAGGGTGGGAGAGATATGTTGATGTTTTCTCACCCCACTGAGAAGTCTGGCTGCCACATGGTTTACAACTCTCATCATCCTCTAACCACAATGGCCATTAATTGATTGGCAATGTGACATATTAGTCCAAGGTACGTAGGTAAGGCAAAAGTTTATTATAGCCACTGGATATTAAAACCATGAACGTATACTTATACATTTAAATGCAGAATAAAATGGTATCACAATAGATAAGCTTGTACATCTGATAAACTTTTTTTAAAAATTAGTCCAAAATATTTGGAAGATGGCTGATCAGGAAGACTGTTTTAATGAATCAAGTTCAGATATGTTTTTGTTTGCCTTTTTGAGGCAGTGGGCAGTTGTGAGGAAGTAATCGAACGTATGTGTGCATTATAGCAGAAAGAACAGCACATAAGGATGGCTTTCTTCTCTTCTTTGTGGAAAATCTTTGCTCTAGGAAACTGTCATTTCTGCATAATACATCCACTATGATTTTAAGAGACTATGCTAACCACTATTTGACCATAAGTGTGGAAAGCACAGCTCCTTCACAGCCAGATCCTTTGGCTGGTCTCTGGAAATAAGTCCCAGTTTCTACATAGGTATCCAGAATTGATATAGAGTCAACATCACATTTTATGAGCATGTACACTTAGCAAAATCCAAATTTCATGTGGATGTAAAAAAAGCTGTGGGAGGGGATGCTTGAAGCCAAAAATGTCCAGTTACATAGTCCTTCTCCACCCACAGTATTGGCTGAAATCCTGTCTCTTGCACAGTATTTAAGACACATTGAATAATCTCTGCTTTTGCATCTGACTACCTAGCTGGAGCTACTGTTATATCGGGAGCTGGCCCTACTTCATGCTGAAAGTTGCATGTGCTTCCTGATCTGTTGGGGTTTATTTTTTAGTGAATAGGTTCACATGTGCTTGAGAAGCAGTGCTCAGATATAACTGGTTATATTTAACTAGTAAATTGTTAATCTATTTTCCCTTTTCTCTAGTAAGATTTACCTAACAGCATTATCTAGATCAGCCATTCTCAACAGAGACCATGGCACATTTGAAGGGAGACACAGGCTAGAAACAATGTGTGAAGAAATAATTCTTCACACATCAATTGATAAGGTCAGTTATATGATAAACAATCCTGATTTGGCCTATATTTCTTTCATATTGTATTTATGGTCATAGAAAAAAAAAAGTTGAAAATTGATGATCTAGACTGAACAATAAGATATCTTGCCTCTTTTTTTTGTTGGAGGCCATGGTATTGAAATGGGGAAGAAGATCACATGTTCACTGATGGCTTGTTATTAATGAATACACAATGGAAGTGAAGAGCAGATTTAAGGAACTAGATTTGGTGGAGAGAGTGCCTGAAGAACTTTGGATAGAGCCTCATAACATTGTACAGGAGGCAGCAACAAAAACCATCCCAAAGAAAAGGAAATGCAAGAAAGCAAAGTGGCTGTCCAACGAGGCCTTACAAATAGCAGAAAAGAGAAGGGAAAAAAAATGCAGGGGAGATAGGGAAAGTTACAGAAAATTGAATGCAGACTTCCAAAGAATAGCAAGGAGAGACAAGAGGGCCTTCTTAAATGAACAATGCAAAGAAATAGAGGAAAATAACAGAAAAGGAAAAACCAGAGATCTGTTCAGGAAAATGTAGGGACCTCACAGAAGCAGAACACATCAAGAAGAGGTGGCAAGAATACACAAAGGAATTATACCAGAAAGATCTGGATGTCCTGGACAACCCAGATAGTGTGGTTGCTGAGCTTGAGCCAGACATCCTGGAGAGTGAAGTCAAGTGGGCCTTAGAAATCATGGCTAACAACAAGGCCAGTGGAGGTGATGGCATTCCAGTTGAACTACTTAAAATCTTAAAAGATGACGCTGTTAAGGTGCTACACTCAATATGCCAGCAAGTTTGGCAAACTCAGCAGTGGCCAGAGGATTGGAAAAGATCAGTTTACATCCCAATCCCAAAGAAGGGCAGTGCCAAAGAATGCTCCAACTACCGTACAATTGCACTCATTTCACACGCTAGCAAGGTTATGCTCAAAATCCTACAAGGTAGGCTTCAGCAATATGTGGACCGAGAACTCCCAGAAGGAGCAGAGGAACTAGGGACCAAATTGCTAACATGCGTTGGATTATGGAGAAAGCCAGAGAGTTCCAGAAAAACATCTACTTCTGCTTCATTGACTACGCAAAGGCCTTTGACTGTGTGGACCACAGCAAATTTTGGCAAGTTCTTAAAGAAATTGGACTGCCTTACCACCTTATCTATCTCCTGAGAAACCTATATGTGGGATAGAAAACAAGAGTTAGAACTGGATATGGAACAACTGATTGGTTCAAAATTGGGAAAGGAGTACGACAAGGCTGTATATTGTCCCCCTGCTTATTTAACTTATATGCAGAATACATCATGCGAAAAGCTAGACTGGAGGAATCCCATCCAGAATTAAGACTGCTGGAAGAAATATCAACAACCTCAGATATGCAGATGATACCACTCTGATGGCAGAAAGTGACGAGGAATTAAAGAACCTCTTAATGAGGATGAAAGAGGAGAGTGCAAAAAATGGTCTGAAACTCAACATCAGAAAAACTAAGATCATGGCCACTAGTCCCATCACTTCCTGGCAAATAGAACAGGGAGATATAGAGGCAGTGACAGATTTAACAGAATATCTCTTATCCTATACAGTACTTTGGCCATCTAATGAGAAGAGAAGACTCCCTGGAAAAGACCCTGATGTTGGGAAAGTGTGAAGGCAAGAGAAAAAGGGGACAACAAAGGATGAGATGGTTGGACAGTGTTATCAAAGCTACCAACATGAATTTGACCAAACTCTGGGAGGCAGTGGAAGACAGGAGGGCCTGATGTGTTCTGGTCCATGGGGTCACAAAGAGTCAGACATGACTTAATGACTAAACAACAACAAGCTAGATCTTACTAGGATTTCAATCAAGTTCTCTTGCACCTGTTTTAATTATGACCCTACCCCATTATCTTTAGTCCTACAACACTCTAAGTGCTAGTTTTGGTCTGTCTCATGCTCCAAAACTTGGATTCCATGCCACCAACAAAGGTGCGTTATGAAAAAGAACATGGAGATTTGCAATAAACCCATTTAAAAACTAAACATTACAAAATCCCCACAAAACATAGCTGCATATTGTTTGAGGCCTCAAAGCTCCAGTGCTTGGTCCTCAACCTGTGTGTAAATATATTAATGCTGTGGGTTGTTTTAAATAGTCATGAACAGAAATGGGGATGAATTTAAAAACAAATTGCAAAATTCATCAAAAATTGCTAATTTTTAATTCATATTTCTATGAATTGATACCTTTAACAAATACAAACCAATAATTTTTTTATGATTTTTGAT